AGAGAGAGAGAGAGAGAATCCCAAGCAAGCTTCATGCTGTCAGCGCAGAGTCTGACCCGGGGCTTGATCTCACAAGTGTGAGATCATGACCTGAGCCTAAATCAACAGATGAATGCTTAACTGACTGAGCCACCCAGTCGCCCCTCACATAGGGCAATTGTGATTCCCAGAGGACAGGTGGTTATATCGGTAGACGTTTTTGGTTGTCACAACTGGAGGGCAGGCTGCTGCTAATAGACAGTGGGTAGAGGCCAGGGATGCTGCTAGGAGTCCTACAATGCATGGGGTAGCCTGCCTGGAACAAAGAATGATCCAGCTCCAAATATCAGTGGTGCTGAGGCTGGCATACTTTGCTTTACGAACTGAGGCTGAGAGGTGTCCCGGTTACGAAGACTGTAGTCTCTGGCCACTGGCCACTCAGGAACTCTCCTTCATCAGTTATGTGACTTGGGCAAATTACCTTCTCTCCTTCTGCCTCTAAAACATGGGGGAAATAAAAGGATCTATACCACGCTAAGTTGTTATAAGGATTAAATGAGCTAGTGTATATAAAGTGCCCAGACGGGGTCTGGCATGCCGAGGTACTCAACAAATGTTAGCTATTAATACTAGTGATCGTATACCTGTTTTACCCTCGAAACGTGTTTTAAGATTTATTACTTTCAGGGACATGTCTTATAGGACTGATAAAAGAGTTGGTGCATTTGTTTCTAGGAGCCCTCCCCAGGAGCCTCTGAAAACAGCAGAAACTTTGAAGCCAGAAAGACCAGGACTTACACGACTCTGACATTTATACCAGATGAGTGATCTTAAGCTAGTTATTTAGCCTCTCTGAGCTGTGGTTTTTTCATCCGTGATATGGGGGTAGCAGTTTGCAGGCGTGTGTGACATATGGTTAACACAGGGGCCATCGTTTGTGCAAACTGCTAGCTTGTCTTTAAGTAGTGATCTTAATCATGCTCAGCAATCCTGGAGTCTTATACCGTCTTCAGTAGGTGGGACCATTTTTAGAAGTTCCCAGTGTCCATCCTGAAATGTATCAACTTGAAAAAGCTGCCACCACACTGACAATCTGACTTCTAGATAGACTCGTCAAGAGTTTCACCGCCAAGAGACCGTTCCACGAACTTTCGGAACGAGCTCCAAACCCTCTGGCTTTTCTGGATATGGAAAGGAATTCTCCTAGGGACCCTTTCCAACACCTACAGAAGATCTTGTGAATCCGGAGATGGTTTTGAAAGAACAGGACAGTGGTGGTGGTTGGTGGGGCGGGGAGGACCCAGAGTATTGCATGATGATGGGACGTTTCTAGGTTACAGCCAAAACTCTGGTAGATGATCTAACCATAGCTGGGAGCATGTGGCCCAGTGACGTGGGACAAAGACCATTTGCTGGAGTCAGGAGACCCGGCCTAGGCAAGTCTCATTCATCTGCCATTAGCAGGGGACTTTAGGGTAGGTACGGAATGGCAGCTATTTTAGTCCTAAAATGCTTAAATCTCATAGGCCTCAGTTTCCTCATCTGTGAACTGAAGGGCTTGGATCAGATGGTGTCCCAGACCCTCCTAGGCCCAGAGATTGATCTCTGAGGAAGTTAACAAAGTACTAAAGCATGCATTTTTTCCTTTTCAAGCTCTGGGGGGGGGGGGGGGGGGGGGGGGGGGAAATGTTTAAATCACCCTGGTAACAAGAAAAATCAGCAATCAGTTTTCTGATTAAAACAAAAAAGTGCCAGTGTGTAAATGTACAAGGAATGCATAATTAGCATTGCCACACTTTAAATCTTCTCGTAAGAGCATAATGAAGATGCTCGATGTTTCTACAGTAAATTTGTTATTATCCATGCGAGAACTCCCCCCCCCCCACCATCAGGGGTTTGCAATCACTGGACAAGCCCCCCCACAGCCCATCATAATTTTAAAGCGGTCTCTTCGTCTCTGCTCACCTGAAATGTGTGCTAATTTGATTACCGGGCTGGAATCAAGGTAACCAGGAAAATGAGTGTGCCGTTTCAAATATTACAGAGACTATTCCAGCACCAAATAGAAATGGTTTCTGTATCACTTGCTGCTTGGGGGACCATGTTCTATACATTAGTGAGGCTAATCAAGAGCTGGCCCTGGGCGGTGTAGACCCAGGGGTTGACACCCCGCAACCCACAGGCCAGATGGGGCTCACCGCCTGTTTTTGTATGACTTGCAATCTAAGAATTGTTTTTACCACTGTCGGTGATCGAGCAAAAATCAAGAGGGGAGTAATATTTCATGACATGTGAAAGACAGATGAGATTCAAATTTTCACGTCCTCGGTAAAGTTTTATCAGAAACGAGCCATACCCATTTGTTTCCATGTGTCATCAATGGCTGGCTGCCTTGGCTCTATAATGAAAGTTGAGTAGCTGAGATGGCCCTCAGAGCCCCAAATGCTTACTATTTGGCCTTTATGGAAAAAATCTGCCAACCCCTGTGGTGGACCATTGTAGGAAAAATGTCTGCTTGCTGGTTGACCAGATGGGAGCATGAAAGAAAAAAGAACTGGAGAAAATATATTGAGCCAGTCCTGAAATGGTAAAATAAAGTCTGCAAAGATGGAGGGGCGCGGGGGCGCGAGGAGGGGGTGGGAACAGGCAAGACCTGGAAATCCTATGCTATGAAGAAGATATAGCCTGCTTCACCTGGGTCTCCAGATCTAGCAAGGCCCGGGACAAGTATACGATTCATGTCATTTAAACCTTTCTTTTTTTTTTTTTCAACGTTTATTTATTTTGGGGACAGAGAGAGACAGAGCATGAACGGGGGAGGGGCAGAGAGAGAGGGAGACACAGAATCGGAAACAGGCTCCAGGCTCTGAGCCATCCGCCCAGAGCCCGACGCGGGGCTCGAACTCACGGACCGCGAGATTGCGACCTGGCTGAAGTCGGACGCTTAACCGACTGCGCCACCCAGGCGCCCCACATTTAAACCTTTCTTATGAGTAAAGCTACTAGACCAGTGCCAAGGGGAATGAGATCGAAGAAAAGTGAATTCTCACCATTAAGTCGCTCTGACTTTAAGGCTACTAGTTTTTTTCATGAGCACTGCTTTGTGACATTTCACTGTAGTTTTAGCAGCAGCCTCATTAACTGGAAATGGAGAGGACAGGAGAAGAGTAGAAATGACTTAATTCATCTCGTTCATATCATCTTACTCTTTTGCAAAGACACTGGGCTAACCACGCAGGCAGAAAGAAAGAGTTGGCTTGAATCATGAACGTTTGGAGTAGAATGACATTGGAGCGAGAGGTTAGCCCATCACACCTGGGAGCTGGTAGTTTGTTCTAAATGTCTTGCTCTACACTGCGCATTCTACTGGGACTTGAAGTTCACGGTAACACTGGTAAGGCAGGAGTCTCTGAAATCGTCCCTTCCGTTTTGCCCCTCCGTTCTCTCCTTACTTTCCTTCGGGCAGCCAGCCAGGCTCCATGCTTTCTCTGTCTCAAGGGGGGACTGCAAGCAGGGCAGAAAAGGAAACGGCTCTAGACATACTTTGCTTGGGGATTTTTTTTTGTTTTTTCAAAAGCCTGAGTCCATTAAGGCAATTATGCTTGGCGTCCCTGACAGGGGAGAGGCGGAGCACTTCGGAGACTCAGGGAGGCGGGAGAAGGAGGGTCTGGAGCCTGGGAAAGTGGCTGAGCCCCGGCTGTGGGTTGTACTGGCCGCTAAGCCCTCGCCTTGCCCCTTCAGCAATTTCAGAAAGGAAGACCAGGGAGAAAAAAGGTGAAGCAAAGCCGGCGGGACCCCTAGGTGACCAGAAGCTGCAAAGCCAGTGGACTTGGAGAGACAGAGTAGGCGCACGGCAGCGTGTGTTCAGCTATCAGACTGGCGACAGTGTGAGTGGACCAAGACCCAGGGACCCCTGCACTACCCTGGGGGGCGCTGGCCTCAAGAAAGACTGAGCCACTTGGTAGAAGACAAGCTGGGAGGCAACATCAAGTTCAAGGAAACGAGAGACGTGCGATATTTTTCATGTACTCGTTCTGGCTCTCTTCGTGGCCTGGTCAATATCTTTTAGATACTTTAAAAAAGCGTTTTGTGTTTGAGAAAGAGTCTAACAACGTAGAAAAACCCACTGGGCTCTGCGAATCGTGTCTGTTACTGAGATAAAGCACGATGTGTAAGTGCAGGCGCTCCCTGAGGTCAAGCTTGAATTGAGGGTGGAAACCCCCGAGGATATTACTCCTCGGGGAGCTACAGCCACTGCTTGTTCAGTTCTAAGCACTTTACGTCGTGTTATCTGGCTGTTGGCTTCCCTCAACTGCAACAGGAGGTAGGTGGACCGCTATTTCTGCTATTTTACAGAAAAGGAAACCGAGGCGCACATGGGCTCCCTCCCTTGCCCAGGTCACACAAGTCAGTGGCAGGGCCAGAATCCGAGCGCATGACTCCCGAGCCCATGCGGTTAGCTACTGTCCCACACGGCTAACCTTCCGGACGCAGGACGATTTAGTGTGGCAAACGCGGCAGAGTGTGGACCATATATCACAGAGCACAGAAACTCAGGAGGGAAATGAAGGTAGTTGGAGCCGAAAGCGAAACGGATGGACAGCTCAATTTAAAAGTTTGACCGTAAATCACTAATGTTGAAAAACAACTAACTGGAAAAATGCAAATCACAAAATGACAAAGATCCCTGACTTACAGCACAATCCTTACACGAGGCTACTTAAAGGAGGCTCCCGACTTTCAAATCTGGTCCCTCCTCGCTGTCGGCCAGTGCCCGCGCTTCATTCCTGTGCCTGCTTCCCCACACCTTGGCCACCAGCCTCTACGGGAGGGCGCCCCCTTCCCACCGGGCAGGTCGTGAGACCTCCGGCCCCGGGGTCACTGGGGAGACAGATGCTTTGTCTTCTCAGCCGTCTTCTCCCCCTGCTCCTGTGTGCCAATTCGTCCCCTGCCCCGCTGTCTAGTCACTGACAGAGTACCTTCCTATTTCAAAGTTATTGACAAATTTGCACTTATGGGGAGGACCTTAAAAATAGGAAAATAATTGACTACATATTTTAACTCCTGACAACACTAGTTCTAACAGGGCTAGTAGGTACTACTCGGGGCACATTTTGGAAATACGTGGAGACTTTTTTTTTTTTTTTTTTTTTTTTTTTTTTTTTTTTTTTTTTTTTTTTTTACGTCTAGGCCCTCACTACTCAAAGTGTGGCCCATGGAACAGCAGCATGGACATCACCTGAAATCTTGTTAGAAATGTGGAATCCTACCCCTGGACCTACTGACTCAAGAATCTGCATTAAACAAGATCCCTGGGTGATTCATGTGCACATTACAATAAAGAGGTATGGGGCTAGAATTTACATAGTGAAATATGCATCATTTTATTATAATTGGTTTCTTTTTATTTCTCCTTTATACTGCTGTGGGGTATTATTTTTAAAAATATGCCTGGAGGCAGGTTAATTATCGTTCATTTCAAGGTACCCAAAAAATGTGCTACAAAATAGTTTTTATATAAGGCAACAATAGGTCAGAGACACAATGGTAGCCACTGTTTTAAAATACTGCTGACCCTTGAGTAGCACAGGTTTGGACTGTATGGACCCACGTACACAAGTTTGTGTTTGCTTTTAGTAAATACACTACAGCACCATGGAAGTACTTTCTCTTCCTTACGATTTCCTGAATAACAATTTCTTTTCTCTAACTTACTTTAATGTAAGAATACAGCACATGACATATATAACATATAAGATATGTGTTAATTGACTGTGTTACTGGTAAGGCTTCTGGTCAACCGCAGGCAGTAGCGAAGTTTTGGAGGAGTCAAAGTTTTCTGCAGCATTTCAGCTCAGGGTAGGTCGGTGTCCCTCACTCGCCCTGTTGCTGAAGGGCCACCTGTATTGCGAGTCTGAAAAAAGTGTGAAATCCTGCTGCCCTCTGTCCTTTCTTGGACTTTGTTTTGTGATTTGGGGCAGACCACTTCATCTACGTGGCCTCGGTCTGTCCATGTGCGAAATGAAGGGCGTAGAATTAAATGAACTTTAAGAGCCCATCCAGACTCGTCCAAGGCCAGCAACAGGGAGGGAGGTACGCACAGGAAGTGAAAGAGTTTGCAAATAAATGAAGAACATGTGTAAAAGAGCAAAGGGAAAAAAAAAATATCAAAGGGCAGGAGGGACAGGGAGGCGAGAATGTGGAGAGACTGATAATGAAGACAGGAAGACAGGAAAAAGAGACAACTTCTGATAAAAGCGATTCCACCAGCCCATGAATTTTCATGGCTACCAGCTGGCATAAAATCATAAAGACAATTTTCAGCTCCTCTCACGGAATTGCATTTGTAATAATCATAACAATATTTCTGCAGAGTAAAACTGACAAAGATAATTTGAAATGGAAAACACTGACAAGATGCAAAATAAATGTGCTCTACCTGGTAACAAATTTAGGGACGGGACAGAATTTGCATGAGGAAAATTTATAAGCCGGCATACAACGGGGCAGCAAATCTGGATGGGCTTTTGATGGCTCCTTGTTAACCTCCTCAGGTAAATCAGAGGGAAGTGATTCTGCATTAGCCTCTCGCGACAGTGACTTCCTTCCCACCATCGAATCTGTGGTGGAATGCACTCCTTTCGCTTTTCATTATCTGCTACATGAATAATGGTTGAGCAAATGCTCAAGTGCTCAAATGCCATGTCCAGTCCTAATTTATCCATTTGTAAATGTCCCTCCTGGTCTTCGTGAGACATTATGTCCTTCTGCGGTCATCCAAGATGGCGGGAAATTATAATTCTCCACGGTCAGAGGTTTGCAAATTTGAGCACCTACTAAGTGTGCGATATCCTAAATGATGCACGAACTCCTGCCTCTGATTCCTCTTACGGTTTGACGGGGGAGATGAACGTAATAGCTCACATTTACCGAGAGGGTTTTATATGCCAGATAAATATAACAGCTCAGATGAAGCACAGTAGTCATTTTGGTAAGTGTCATGTGTATTTTTTTTTCACTGGGCCCTTCTGACATCCCTGGGAAATCGCTACTATTATAACCTAATTTTATTGTTGAGAAATTGGGAGATCAGGAAGGTGAACCAACGCACCATAAGTCACACAGCTAATGAGTAGCCAAGCTTGGACTCCAAAGCCCAAAGAGACGCAAAGACGGTGTCCGTCTCTTTAACTACGGTCCTACGCCAGCTCAGACAAATAACAGTGACCAGTGGAAATCACGCTAACCTAAATGCTCACTTCACATTCCTCTTCGGCCCCTCCTTCTGACTCCATGTGGCTGGGTATTTTTATTCATCATGAGTGTTTGTTTATCATCCCACACATCTGATTCCTTGACTGGGATAAATATGAAGAATTCATACTGGAGGGGGCTTCAGATCTGGATTTAAGGCAACAGACGCAGAGTATCTATAGTGGATGTATTTTCAATGGGAGAAGACCTTTTAGTTCAGTATCTTAAGCTTCTTGCTTAAAAAAAAATCCTCGCTTACTTTGACAAACATAACAAAAATTGGGACCTTCTATCCGCCAGAGATTATAGTATAACCTTGGGGGAAACCTCCACCCTATGAATGACCAACCTAATGAAAAGAAGTAGCATAGTCAAGGGCGTAAGGGGGAAGAGTGTCATCTTCTTGGTAGGTGAAAAGAATCCCTACGTTTTTATATTGCCCTGGCTTCTTATAAATCTTTACCTGAAACAGACTGGAAATACTGCACAGTCCAGGCGATCAATACAGACAGCAAGAAGGTTCCCAGAAAGTAGATCTGCAAAATCCAAAGCATGAATCAGATGACTGACAAAAGGCAGGGACCCCCGTGGGCAGGGCTGGGAGACATGGCGCCTACCAGGGCGGAGTGCAGCACGGCACCCCAGATGAGCCTCAGGTGAAGGTAAAGCCAGGCCAGGGAACAGGGGCTGAAGGACTCCTCGCTACTTTGGCTCCAGCACCTGCGGGACAAAAAGCACGGGGCATCCGGATGTAGTGGCAAACTTCGGTGGCATTACTTATGACCCACACTATCAGACCCTCACACCCGCCTCCTGCTTTGGGCACATGGGCCACTCTTGAGATGCAAGACAAAGAAACACAGCCAGTTCTAAAGGGCTTGGGTCTGCCCTGAAATTCCAGGATCCTGGCAGAAACCTCAGAAAAAGGAGTCCTGTCCTTAATAAAAAAGCGAATGGGTCAAAGAGGACCCTGAAGCAACAAGCTGCCAGAGCAATACTTCTGTCCGAGCGCCTGTCCAAAGTCTGGACGTCGGACTGCTTCTCTATTTGCCGCAAGGCGTGGTCTAATCAGACACGTTAGTCTTTCCACCCTCATGGGAAACCCTGGTCGGCACTTTGACTTCAGATCAAGCACATTCTGTATGGTAAGCTTCAGACAGGGAAATTGTTTGGGTCCAGCTGAGTGCTCTCTAATCGAAACAAGTCCTGAGCCCTTTATATAACAGCTGCCATTACATAATAAAAGAAAACCTAACTTTTACCAAGAAGTAAACGCCACCCAGACTCCACGGTATTAAAGAGGCTCTGAACTCACCTTTCATACAGTTCCTGAAGGATGGAGATGTTATTAGAATGGATAGTTGGGTCAATTTCCAAGAAATCCAAAATATGATGTGGGATTATAGCACCTTCCTCAATTAGCAGAGCCAGGTTAAAAAATCCCTGAAAACAAGCCACAGACCAAACTCATCAACTCCTTATAATAAAACCCCAGACACATGCCCTTCATCAAATGTAAACTTTTACAACCTCTAGATTCTTTTTTTTCAGTCCCTCAAGCCAGATGTTTTTGTCATCCTCATTGATGGATTGTTTCCCTAAATATATGCATCTGAGAAATTTATTTGCAGGAGAACCAGGAGGCTTTCAGGGAATGCTGTGTCCCATCTGCCAGAAACCAGTCAACCAGGGGACTCTGTCCTTTCCTGCTCATTCTCTCAAGACAGAACTCACTGGAAAACGTGCCCTTGTATCATCAACAAACCAAAATACCAAGTCGAAGGCAATGTCTATCACTTACAGATCATGCCCTGGGACACCATCAGCATGTCGGAAATCTAGCAGAATGCTTTGATGGCTGGGGGTGCTACTCCTGACTGACATGCTAACATAGTCTCTCGTGCACACAGTCAGATACGGGGGTTTGTCTCTGCTCTCTTAGGCCCATGCGGAGAACCTTCTCTCGTGATCCTCTTGGCCCAGCTCCTCCCAAGTACATTTCCCTACCTCTTCCTTATATGCCTTGGTCTTGACCCTCAGAGGTAGGACCTGCTTCACTGGGCTGTGCAGATGCAATTAAAAAACCCAGCAGAGTTAAGAGCCTGACAGTACAGGTGCTTCATAAAGTATGGAGGCTACCACACTGCCTGGAGGAGAAGCCCTGACCATCATGAGCTGAGCACGTGGCCGGACCAAGAAATAAACGAAAAACAATGGGTAACGTACCATTAGGGATTTACGAATGGAACTGGATTGTGGCCCTTCAAAGAATTCATGGTCATGTTTTAACGACTTATATCCTCCCTTCCACCTTTCCTTTCAGTTGCCATTGATAAGGATCTCAATGAAAATCACCCAACAGGTTGTATACACTAAGCCTCTCACTGCTATCCCATGCAATAATCATGACAAAAATAACAGCAGCTAACATTTTCTTCCCTTTTCATTTTTTAAAGTTTTTACAAAATGGTTGGGGGGGGGAAGGGCAGAGAGAGAGAGAGAGAGAGAGAGAGGATCCCAAGCAGGCTCCCTGCTGCCAGTGCAGAGCCCAACATGGGGCTCAAATCCATGAACCGTGAGATCATAACCTGAGCTGAGATCAAGAGTCGGACGCTTAACTGATTAGGCCACCCAGGTGCACCCAGCTAACTTTTTCTTAGTGCTATTATATGTGAGACATTGTTCTGTTTTATATATACTTGATGTTCATAACAACAAATTGAGATAGGTACTATTATCTTCTCTACTTTATAGGTGAGAAAACGGGGGTGCAGAGAGGTTAAGAACTTGCCCAAGGTAACACAGCCAGACAGGGGCATGAATTGGGATTCAAATGCAAGCAGACGAGGTCCAAATCTCAAATCTTAACTTCCACTACCCAGCTAAATAAGCCTAAATGTCTGGGAGGAGGTCATGTCTTTAAGGTCTCACCACACACACACACACACACACACACACCTGCAGACAGAGATATAGAATATCTCTTCTTTCTTTCTTTCTTTCTTTCTTTCTTTCATTTCTTTATTTTCAATGTTTATTTATTTTTGGGACAGAGAGAGACAGAGCATGAACGGGAGAGGGGCAGAGAGAGAGGAGAGGAGACACAGAATCAGAATGAGCTCAAGGCTTCTGACCATCAGCCATGAGAGCCTGGCTGTGAGGACTCGAACTCCCGGACTTGGCGGATCTGTGACCTGGCTGAGGGGAATCCGACAGCTTAACAAACTCATACTTGCCCAGGCTCCTCCATTCTTTAAAAGGAAGGTACTCTTTTTATTATTATTTTAAAGAGAGAGAGAGAGTGCAAGAAGGGGAGAGGGGCAAAGGGAGAAAGAGAAAGAGAAAGAAAAGAAAAAGAAGAGAAGAATCGCCATGTGGGGCTCCATTCCATGACCCTGGGGTCATGACCTGAGCTGAAATCAAGAGTCAGGGGCCGCGCACTCAGCAGGCGAGGCCACCCAGGTGCCCCTAAAAGAAAGGTACTCTTAAAACTTGAACTATTAGAAAAAAAGAAAAAAAATCACTTTATATAATTTTAATGTCTCTTGGAAGAATAACAAAATTAAAATAAATGGGAAAATAGACTAGAGAATATTTGTATGCAGTGTAATAGCTTAAGGTTCATTATCTACCGGGCAAATATATAAAGAACTAATT